GCCGTCGCTCCGGCTGGATCGTAGTCAGAGCTGCCCGGGTGGCAGATCGCTCCTTCGGGGATCTGCGGGCGCCTCTCCCGCCTCTCCTTTCATTGCGGGCCGCAGCGAGGGCTGCAACACAGGAATAATGAGGAACGTGTGGATGGTGCTTGCCTTCGCCTTGTCGGCCTGCGTCTCGGGCGAGACGGTAAGAGGCTGCCTTCGTTTCATTTGGGGAGGGGGAAGGAGGGCAAGAGGCAGTTGCGAGGTGTGCTCGTCTGAATCCCCACGATTCCCCTCCGCGCTTGGTTGCAGATTATCAGCCTCCCCTTTCCTGTCCCAACTCCCGGGGAACTTTTCCTGCCTTCGCTGCTCAGCCCTTACGGGCACTCTAGCTCGATCCTGGGGCGCACTGGGAGAAGCGGGGGAGGGAGTATATTTTAAAAACAGCACTGAAATCCCGTTTCTTGCTTCAGAAACTAGTTTCGGCCTCGAATTGGAGAAAGAGGGGCGGTGGGACTGGGATCAATCCGGAGCGGGAGGAAGGATGAGACGCCCCCGCTGTTCCCACATCTGCTGCGCAGAAGTTTTGCTAAGGTCATTTGCAAAGATCAAAACTTTTTAAACATGAGGGGCGTGGGGTTTTTCGTCTCTGCTTAATGGTATGTGAAACGGGGGAGGGGAATGGGAGAGAGCCATTATATTTTTATTTGACGGGGTAAAATATGTTTTTTCCTCCTGGGATGGGGGGGCAGGCTTTTGAAGTGGAGGGGCCTTAGTTCTTTCTAAAGATAATTGATAACTCTTGGGATACGTTTTTATTTAAACAAAAAGCTGTCTGAAAATTACAGATGGAAGGAGATGGGCATGTGATGAGACAGAAAAGCTCTGAAGGAGAGCACTGTAAAAACTATCTTTTGGAAGGGGGGGGACATGAGTGTTAGAGTAGTTCCTTGAGCACTTTCAGTAAACTCCCCAGTGTATTTATCATTCAAACCTCTCTTTCATTGCTTCAGTCTGTTGATTTCAGTGAAGGACTCTAGGAGAACATGATACCATGGTGATCCTGAATGTGATGGTCTCGGAGGTGTTTGCAAATCCAGCCTGGATCACTGAGTTGTGTTTGATAGATCTCAATGGAAATTTGGATTATGCTGGGAAGAGGTGCTTTAGTTGTTTTTTTCAGGAGAGGAAAAAATAAAGAAGATGAATAATTATACTGGCCCTCTTCCTGTAAATCAGGACTTATGAGAATGCTGGATCATAATGCATGATATTGGGAAAGTAATATTTTTTAAATCATTAGGGTTTCATTTGCAGCTGGCTCATTTCAAAAACCACTAGGTTTCATCTTGGCATACCTGGTGTGCGTTAGGGAAAAGCATGGCCTTTTTTGATGGCTAGGACACCAGAGAGGAACAGGACAATGTGTCTTCAAAAGTACATCCTCTGGAGTTGTGAGGTTTATTCCCTGGCAAGGATGGATAAAGTTGTGGGTGAAAAAATCTGAATCCAGTGCAAAGGAAACTCACCCCTCCATTGCCCAAATTCTTCTGTGGAGAAGTTGTTGGAGAATGTCTCTTTGATGCATGAAATCTCTGATGATCTCTGCTGGTTAAAGTGCTTGTATCCTTTGAGAATATGAGTTCAGCTACAGATCTTTAATATGTCTTGTGGTTTATTCCAGTATATTTGTGGAATAATCAAAATACTGTTGCATTATTTTTCTAGCACTTCCTTTTCCCTTCTTCAAGGTTAGATGTAGTTCACCTTATGCTGAATCTGAGAAATTTGCGTAGATACTGAATTTCACTCTCTGGAGAAGAATGCTTGCATTTGTGATTACCCGTTTGTAATGCAGGCATCACTGCTGAATAGCAAGAGTGAAAGCCCAAATGAAATGTGAGAATACTTCAGACTTTTCTTTTCCTTCTTTGTGTTTTGATGTGGCCTTAATTTTATCTTCTCTGTTCTTGCATAGTTTGATTGCTGATATGCCCCCCACACAAAGAAATGAGGAGGGGTATTCCCCTGAGTAGCTTAAAATCTTGGTTGAACATTGGAGACAATCTTTTTTTTTTACATGTCAAAATTACTTGTTTATAGTCAGATATGTCCTTCAATTTTATTTCACCAAGCTGGTTTTATATATTCAGTTTGTTGTAATGAGTTTCTATAACTGGTAGCCTGATTTTTAAATATTTTATGTAAGTCTTGTGGTGGTGACTGGGAGTTGGATAGAATGTGCAGAGAATTAATTGTGCTTAGACAGAAATCATATGCACATCTACTTACCTCAGAGATGTATTTCTGAGTAAACGTAATACTGGGCTACATATATGTTTCTTGGCTTAGGACCAGGTTACCAGAAGGAGCATCTTCTCCCATATGTACCTACCCGGACTGTAAGATCATCTAATTAGGCCCTCACCAGGTCCCCTCATCAAAAGGGAGGTGGTGAGGGTCTAATTAGATGATCTTACAGTCCAGGTAGGTACATATGGGAGAAGGAAGTGAGGTGGGCCTCTCCAAGGGGAGAACCTTTTCTTTGGTGATGCCCCATTTATGGAATTCTCTCCCCAGAGAGGCTCACCTGGCACCTACATTAGCATCATTTTATTACGAGGTGAAGACCTTTCTATCTTCCAGACTTTTAAATTGGCTTTTGATTGTATTGTAATTCTTAGTTTTTGAAGGACTGCCATGCTACTGCCTAGTTTACATGGTATTTTTATTTTGTATTTTATTTGATTTTGTGTGTTTTTACTCAGATAATATTTTTAGTGTGTTTTACTGTATTGTAAACTGGCCAGAGAGCTTCAGCTACTGGGTAGTTTTAACATTTTAATAAATGAATAAGTAAAATATAGTAGAATACTTTCCATCTTAATTGTGGTAAATTGAGGATTTGTAATATCTTGGAAAGGTTGGTTGTAAATTTCATTATGGTGGAAGTGTTAAATGATAAAGGGGATACAAACATACCTGCTATTGTCCTGTTTTGGACTAATATCTGTACATTTTTGTGAAGAGTAATCTAGAGATGTGAGTGTGATTTTGAATTATGTGCCCCAAATTGGAATCATCATTATATAAAGAATTGTGGATCTATTGAACATGAAGCATAGCAAAAAAAGATTATTCTTTTATGATGGAAAGGCAGTACCAACCCAGATTTACAGTCTAATATTGATGATATGTATATGCATTCTACTTATGAACTGGGTCTTTATTGATGTAATAGAAAGACTGATCGACATGATATTGCATGATCAAGATTTAATGTGGTGTTTAAAAACTAAGCTTTTTAAAATAATACATATGGATAGAAACAGAAGAGTAGGTAGCAGAAAACATTGGATTGGATTGAAATTGCCTGGTGTTGAACTAACAGTAGTGAGAGTTCCAGGTGAATTTTGCTGGAGACCATGCTCCATAAGTAGCCATGCAGCTGAGAAAGCCTTTTGTCTGATAGCCCCCCATTTAATTTCATTTGTGACAGTAATTATGTAAAGCAAGGAATACTGACAAAAGTTCTTCAAACAATGATCTGGTGTCTGGACAGGTAAACATAGTAGAAAACTACCTTTAGATCTACCTCCCCAATATGATGTGGTGAAATTCAGGTTTGTCCGAGAAACAGACTGGTTGCCAGTGTATCTGCTAAAGCACTGACATATGATTACTTTAATCCATCCCAGTAAACAAGTTAGCAGCTCTAAGATGATCAAACTGGAATTAGGAATCATTTTCAAAGGTAACTCAACTTATAGCACACTGCAATAATTGGAAAGTTTCAGGAGCTTGGCTAACTGGTGCCCAGTATCCATCAGAGAGATATATAAATGGGCTGTGTGTGTGTGTGTGTGTGTGTGTGTGTTGCATTAAGTTCTGGATGGCTGACTTGATTGAGCTAATTTTTGTTTCAATGGAACAATACTGTGGGGAAGGACTGTATGGACCTCCATCATGGTAAAACCCACAAAAGTTAAGCTTTTAAAATTATGGGTTTGACCCATATTGTCATCATTAAATATAAGTTGATATTCATTCAAGTGTTTAGGATGAGTCAAGATAGCTAACCTAGCCTGGTCCTTACTAAGCTGAACTGAAGGAAGGGTAGAGGAATATACGAGTTAGGGAGAAATTAGAATATTCTGGAGCAACCCTCTTAATTTCCTGAGAATTTTGGCCCTCTGCATGGGAGTTTGTGTTGTTTCAAAATCAGGTTCAAGGTAGTCCAGTCTCACAATATCAATGATGAGTCCATGTTCTGTGGGTTCAGGTGTGATGTATCTAAAATTACAGCAAAGATGGTCCTTTTGCTTGAGGCATTTTAGCTCAGAAAGAGCATGCAGGAAGTCCATTGTCCCATGTGGTAGGAATTTAACTCTGCCTCCTGGCTCCTCCCCTAGCCCCAAATTTCAATTGCTGTAGCATTGCTGTTAAACTTTCAAGGCAATATCTGGTTGTATTCAAACTGCTTCTGAAGAATTAAAGAGTGGAAATATCCTTTGGGAACCAAGGGCACTATTCTTGATAAACAAAAGAAATTCCTCCATCTGGTCCCTTCCAGATGAGCCTAACTACAAATTGCATCATCCTGAACCAGCAAGCTGGTTACTGTCCAAGACATGAGGCACCCATTCAGATAATGCTGAATCACATGCTATATTTATGTATATTTGCTTTGAAGTCTCAGTGAAATCATTGGGGACTGTGGTTCAAGTGAATATCAGTAGGAGTGTTTTACTGACTGCATTTCTGTCCAGCTTTCTCAGGGTCTTTCTGAACTAAAGGGGAACTCCCCTCCTCACAATTCTGTACAATTTCTATTTTATCACTTGCAATTGACTGCGTAATTTCATATAGATTTTCTGTGGATTGCTGGAAGCATATAGTCTTGACTTAGTAGTGCTATAGCTGTGATATCGATTCTTACTTTCAAATGTATAAACATATTTAATTCTTTGTACTTTTCCAAATCTAGTTATTCCTTTCTGACTTGTTTTGTTTCCCTTTTTTTTTTTTTTTTTAGAAAGGTAAGTTCTAGTCCACAGTCTTTTTTTAAAAAAAAGCAAAACAGAAGGAGGGTTGTTTTTTTGGCTGCAGTTACAAGAGAAATAAGGAATTACAGACGTTGTGGTGTGTTAAATGAGGGAGCATGTGTTGCAAAGAAAATTGTATCAGGATTACAGTAAATACAGA